TCATGCGTTCACCACCTCCTGCCGCCACCACCACCCCACTCCGAAACCCCAAAGAGAAAGCCATCTCTTTCTCTTTCTGGAAGCACCCCATAGAAAGCCCCCAACTTACCAGAAGAGGATCCGTAAAATATTAGCCACCAGGAGCACCAGACACACGTAGGTAGAGAAGCCCTCTGCATTCTGAGTCCTCCGGATGTCCCTGTACTGGGGGATATACGGCACCACCCCTCCGAAGACCATGGCCCCAGCTGCCCCCCAGGAAACCAGCTGGTGCAAGGGGACCAAAAGCCAATCCAAGCCTTCCGCTTCCATTCCGAACACCTGTGTCGCCCTGCCAGCCGACAGACGTCCACCTGGCCCAGGTCCCCTGTGCTCTCACGGGCTCCTCGAACGCGCGCTGGCGGTCACCCCCACATTGCCGCTGCCTCCCGGGGCGACCCTCCACCGTCGGAGCCTGAGCCTGGCGGGAGAGGAGAACAGGTAAGAGCTCCGCAGCAGGGGCCTCGCGGCACAGCGAGGGTCGCGCACCCGGGGCTCCGCGGGGGCTCACGGCTGGGACACTGGCGCCCCAGGGAGCCCTCCGCGCGCGAGCCGGCACCCGCGGGGGAACAGAGGTGCGGGGCGCGCGGCTGGGGACGCGGGAGGCGGGCCCGGGGCACGCTCATGCTACGGGGGGCTCGGCCCGGGAGGGAGTACTCGGCCGGGATGGGGCGGAGCGCGCTCAGTCCGGGGCGAGCATGCTCAGTCCGGGGAGAGCGCGCTCAGCGCGAAGGGAGGTTGGCTGCTCGGGGGTGGGACGCACGGCCGGGGGCTCCGAGGGGCTCGGCCCTGGGACCCGCCGCCCGCGCCGCATCCCGAGGCCCGAGCCCCGCGTTCCGTCCGCGCCCACACGCGGCCTGCGGATCCGAGCCCCAGCCCTTACCGCCGCGCCCACGCCCGCGCCCGCGCCGGCCCCGCCCGGTCTGTCCTGCGTCCTCCGTCCGTCTGTCCGTCCCAGCGCCGTAGCCCCGCCTCTGCGTGACGTCACAGCGCAGGAGCCCCGCCCACCCGGGCGGCGGACCGACCGGCGCTGGGTCCTAGAGCGCACCGGGCGCCCAGGGAGGGGTCGGGGTTGGGGGCTCGGTGGCCACGTTGCTCTGCCCTCACGCCGGGCCCGGGTTAGCAAGTACCTGCCTGGCGAGGCCGCTCCTGCAGAGCCAGGGGCCCACGTGGACGCGTCCGCACCTGTGCCCGGGCAAGAGGCCGTGTGGACGCGGCGCGCCCCCGAGAGCGGAGGACCCGGTCCTGTCTCTGGCGGAGGTCTGCGCGAGGCCCGGGGCCCCCCTCTTGTGGGGACTCCCTCTCGTGGGGACCCGGGCAGCGTCTGAGGCCAGCAGGTCGTGCCTGAGCGCCCCCAGGTGATCCTTCCACGGCTGCATATTCTGAGGAGTTGGGGGGGGTCCCCATCCTGACGCAGGCCGAGCCCTGAGCAGCAGGTGTCAGAGGCTAACCTGGTCTCGGGTGAGGCGGAGGGGCGGCTCTTCTGGGGAACCAGGCCCAGGGGGTCACTTAGGGCGGCAGCCAGCACCACCGGCTCAGGGCGCGAGTTTATCAGTCGCAGAGTTACTCCACTCTGTAACTTGCTAAGTGGTTCACGGCTTTACCTCAAGCGCACAGTTCTGGGAGGTGAATCCATAGCGTGCCCACTGACAGATAAAGAAATAGGAATTCCAGAGTTCCCTGACCAAGGTGAGCCCCCGGGGGCCCTCGTGCAGGTGCTCTGGACATAGATGCTGGTGGGCTGGGCGTGCAGGAAGCCCACGGCCCAAGTGGGATGGGGGGGTCAGTGAGGACCCTTGTGAGAAGCCAGCCAGCCCCGTGTGCCCAGCACCCTTGCAGGTGGGACTCAGGGCAGAGGAGACCAACTGCAGGGCCCCAGGATTCTGTCTGCAGGGGAGCTCCCCTCAGGGCTCCCATCTCAACAAGGGCAGACCTGAAACACTCCAAAAAGGAAGGCCTGGTGGATGAGAAAGGGTGGCCCTGGGGCCACACACCTGGCTGGCCAGCTTCCCCACTCCCAGATGTGGCCTGCCCTCCTGCTTCCTACCAGGTAGGTTTCATGAGAAATCATGGGAAGAGCTCCAACCTCACGGAGACTAACTCCCAGACAAGCCTGGTGTGATGAGCAGGGCCTCAATAAAACACAGGCTCATTCTCAATCCCCTCCAATCTCTGAGGCTGATGTAGGTATTTCTGAGTCATGGCTACTCAGAGTATCCCCAGGAAGCAAGCATCAGGAATGGAACACAGACAAGGAAACCGTGGCAGGGCTAGGAGGAAAAAGTGGGTGTTCCTACTTAGCCACCTCCTCCCTGGAGCTCTAAAGACCCTAGAATGTTTCACTCTGTTCTGGAGGTTGGAGTAAGGCTATAGGCGTCCCTCCTGACTCCCACTGGAGCATCTGGAGTCACAGCTGCTCATCTGTTCATCCTGGCATGTACAGGCAAATTGGTCACCAGCCCATAGCCACCTGCCATTCTGGATCCATCAGAGTGTATCAGATGAGCGTCCACACAGGACAGCATCTGCAGAGCCCAGCTAAGTGGATACAATCCTGCATTCTTGGTCCAGGATTTTACCCCACAAAGGTCTCCAGTAAGGCAGGCTGATGACTGGAGAGTTAGCTTATAGTCCTTTTAAACACCAACTGTCTGGGATCAGAGTGCACTCACTGGTCTAGAACCATCGGTCAGTCAAGCAGAGGAGAGGAAAGCTCATCTGAGATGCTGCATCTGTTACGTGGCTTCCTGCATTCCCAAACAAAAGAAGCCAGCCAAGCTATGCTAGGCCAGCGAATAGCCCCCAAATGTATCATCCTAATCCCCAGGACCTGTGAATGTTACCTTATTAAAAAAAAAAAAAAAAAAAAGGGCGCCTGGGTGGCTCAGTTGGTTAAGCGACTGCCTTCGGCTCAGGTCATGATCCTGGAGTCCCGGGATCGAGTCCCATATCGGGCTCCTTGCTCAGCGGGGGGTCTGCTTCTCCCTCTGACCCTCCCCCCTCTCATGTGTTCTCTCTCTCTCAAATAAATAAAATCTTAAAAAAAAAAAAAAAAAAAAGTAGGGCTCCTGGCTGATTCAGATCACGCACATACAGGGCTCTCTGTCTCCAGAAATGCACACTTTTGCTTATGAACCTCCCCCTTTTCTTATATATTTAAATTGAGGCAAAATTCATACAACATAAATTAAGCACTGTTAAAGTGAACAATTCGATGACATTTGGTACATTCACAATGCTATGCCAACTCCTTTCCTGTCTGGCTCCCAAACATTTCTTCACCCCAGAATAAAACCACACGCCTCCCCTGCTCCCCTCCCTCCAGCCCCTGGAAAACACCGATCTACTCTCTGTTTTAAGGGATTTACCTATTCTGGATATATCCTATACATGGAGTCCTACAATGAGGGACCTTGTGTATCTGGTTTCTTCCACTGGCCTCATGCTAACACTAAAACTTTAGGAAGCAGAGGGGCAGGACATTCATTCTCTGCCCAGTAGAAGCTCAGCTCCAGGCCTTTAGAGATCCTCCTTCCTACTGGCCTTCCTGGGTGGGCTACTTTTTAAAGGATAATTAATATGCTCCAGAAATGCTTCAGGCAACGCGGGGCTTGAACTCACGACCCCAAGATCAAGAGTCCCATGCTCCCCTGACTGAGCCAGCCAGGAGCCCCGGTTTCCACTTTTTAACTACTGTTGATATCGCTGCTGTGAACGTTTGCGTTACATAGTTGTTGCCCTTCCTCTTGTGTATGTATCTGGAGGTAGAATTCAGGTTATATGGTAACTTTATGTTTAAACAGCCAGTCTCCACACTGGCTGCATCCCACCCGCAACCTGTAAGAACTCGAACTTTGCCACATCCTCGCCAACACCTGTCCTTGTCTGTGTTTTGATTCTAGCCTTCATAGTGGGCGTAAAGTGGGATCTCACTGCAGCTTGATGTGCATTCTCCTGATGATTAAAGATGATGGGTATCTTTGCATGCGTGGCCGTGTTTCACGCACATTCAACAACCCAGCTATCCACCTGTTGTTGCCTGGCCGGGTCCATGGGACACGGGGGTGACCCAGACAGTACCTGCTAAAAACAGGGTCCTGGGGGGTCACCCATGAAGTGACCCACAAGCCACAGTCCAGACAGGCCGGAAGGGCACTGGAAGGAGGGACTGGGTCGAAGATCTTCCTTCCAGACCTTCCGTAAAATGGAAATAGGGATGCCAGCGCCGCTGTGTGCCAGGACTTGGTCATGTTCTTAGTTTTAAGGTTGACCATGGAAATGGCAGAGATGTAAAGAGATGGCCATCCGCTGGAGGGGGATTATGGGCGCAGGCCGGGGTGCACACTTGGGCTGTGTGTGGGCTACGGGTGGGGTACACGCGGGCGTGTGCACCATCTCCTTAGAGAGGTGACAACACACATGAAAACCCAGGGAACGCAAAGACAGAAGGGGGGATGGTGGGTGCCAGGGGCTGGGGAGGGGGAGTTCACCAGTAAGGGGTGCAGAGTTTCAGTTTGGGAAGGTGAAGGGGTTCTGCGGGTGAGCTGTGGGGACCCCGCACAACAATTTGACAAGAATGTGCCCACTGCCGCTGCACCATATACCTAGTCAGACCTGGTTAAGATGGTAAATTTTATATTGTGTATATTTTACCATAAGGAGAAGAAGATGAGCTCACTCTGCCTACCTCTTTCATCTCTGATGCAATGAAAACAAAGCAAACCAGTCTTGTGCAGGGTGAGCTGCCCAACAGGACCAGCTACCTTGTCCCTGCACAGGGTCGCCTCTCCCTCCCCCGGAAAGGACCATCACACCTGGAGGAGCCACCCTCAGGGAGCCCTCACCTCCCCGGGCCTCCTCCCCCGACCTGCCTGAGGGTTTTGTTTGCCTGTCCCCGGCACCGGCAGCCGCGCCCTGCCCGGGAATTCACTTCTGGGGACCTAAGCTGCTGCGCTCTTCCCCACATCGAGGCTCCTCCAGTATTCCCCTCTGCAGCCTGAGCATCTCCGCGACCGGCCGCCGAAGCAGCCCTGCCGCCGCTGCCGGGACCTGTCCGGGTGCAGCGCAGCTGACGCCCGGGAGCCACCGGGCGCACCCGGAACCACCCGGCCCCCTGGGACCACCCGGCCGACGGGACCCCCCGGGCCCACCGGACCCACCGGGAACCACCGGGCCCACCGGGAACCACCTGGGCCCACGGGACCCAAGAGGCGCACCCGGAACCACCAGGCCCACCGGGAACCACCGGGCCCACCGGGAACCACCCGGGCGCACGGGACTACCCGGAACCACCCGGCCCCCTGGGACCACCCGGCCGACGGGACCCCCCGGGCCCACCGGACCCACCGGGAACCACCCGGGCCCACGGGACCCCCCGGGCCCACCGGACCCACCGGGACCCACCCGGGCCCACGGGACCCACCGGGCCCACCGGGAACCACCCGGGCGCACGGGACTACCCGGAACCACCCGGCCCCCTGGGACCACCCGGCCGACGGGACCCCCCGGGGCCCACCGGACCCACCGGGAACCACCCGGGCCCACGGGACCCACCGGGCCCACCGGGAACCACCCGGGCCCACGGGACCCCCCGGGCCCACCCGGAACCACCCGGCGCACTGGGACCCATTCGACATGGACGCGCGGGGACCCAAAGCCCCCGGCGGGGACGCGCTGCGCGACGCGGTGAGTGGGGTCCCCTCCCCCGCCCCCCCCGTGTCCCTCCGCACCCGCGCCGCCTCGGGGGCTGAGGGCGGGTCGGCGGTGGGCGTGGCCAGGGTGGGTGGGCGTGGCTGGGGACTCGGCGGCCCCCCGCCCCCGCAGGCCCTTCGCGCTCCCCGTTTGCCGCCGGGGCTTGCGCACCAGACGCGGACGCTGCGGGCCCGGAAGCCGCGGCGAAGGGCTGGTGGGTTTGGCTTCCGGAGAAGAATTTGTTAGGTGTTGTGCGCACCGGACTGCGCGTGTTCCTGACAACCGTTAAAGGCAGAAGAAACCCTCCGAGGGAAACCTGGTGACGGAAGGCGCCGCAGCCTCTTCGTGGGTGAAAGCAGATTCGGGTTGACGCCCGCCCTGCCTTGCCGTCTCTCCAGCGGAGATGTACGCGGACGGGAGCGAGCAGCGAGCCGTAGACGCGGCGCGAGGAGGGCCGCGCAGACGTGGGTCTGCGGCCAGCAACAATACCGGCGCTTCTAGGGCCGTTCCTCAGCGTCTGCGACCCCCACCCCCGCTGCTAAGCAGCCCACAGCGGAGGGCGGGGGGCAGGGGCTGCGGGGCTGCGTCGGCGCTCCCCAGGGTTCTCGGAGGGACATTCTCCCGTGTCACCTCCTGGGCATTCGGCAGTCTCAGTGCCGACGTCGGGGTGTGTGGTCGTTTTGAGTTAATTTTTGTGCACGGTGTGAGGTAGGGGTCAGGCCTGTGCTTGGCTGTCTTACTGTTCAGCACCGTTTGAAGAGAGTTTCCTTACCCTTTGACTTGAAAAGCCTTGGCACCTGTCAAAAATCTAACCACCTAAATGAGGATGATTCCATTCCATGATGCTAAAATGCCCTACATCAAGAGTAAATATTAAAAACAAACAAACAAACCCAGGAAGGCGATAGATCCAATTTAATTAAATTTGAGACATCAAGAGACCCCAAAAAAGTAAATACTACGTTCAGGTGTCCTATGGTTTATTTTTTCAGGCAGAAAATCTATTTCAGGAACTTCAAGAACATTTTCAAGCTCTGACTGCAACATTAAACCTCAGAAATATCCTTTTCTATCCTATAACAAATACTGTGATGCTTTTGAACTCTGAAATTATCCTGGAATACCTTTTTGTCTGCTACTAGTGGATAATTGTTGACCTAGGATTTCCTGGTGCTTACATTTGTGCCCTTCATGGTACCCTGATGTAGCCATTACCATTCACAGGTACTTACTTCCCCCGTGGCCAGCAATAGAGGGCATTTTGTATGACAATGATAAAATACAAGGACACAATGCACAATACTACCCTGTGGGGCATTTCCACCAAGCCCTAAATAAATCTGGGTAGTCTGCTGAATAACATTTATACTCTACCAAGCAATCCAAAACTTGCAATATAGGGTATATATATATAGGGTACTATAAATGGCTCTCCCGACCTTTGTTTTGTTTTGCAACTTTAGCCTCTCACCATTTTGTTAAGACATGATTTCAAACAGAATTAGAGTAGAAAGTTTGTTTCCACTTCAAGCAAAGCCAGATAATGGTAACATCTGCCCTAAGACTTGGCGAGCTAGAGCTTACTTTACACAATTAAATTCATTCCATAGAAAATATATGCAAAGTATTTGCATATGGAACCATTTACTTCAAATTTTGATTCTGTAGATGGGTTCCCATAGGGAAAAAAAATATTCTTTTTTTTTTTTTTTTAAAGATTTTATTTATTTATTTGACAGAGAGAGACACAGCGAGAGAGGGAACACAAGCAGGGGGAGAGGGAGAGGGAGAAGCAGGCTTCCTGCCGAGCAGGGAGCCCGATGGGGGGCTCGATCCCAGGACCCTGGGATCATGACCTGAACCGAAGGCAGACGCTTAACGACTGAGCCACCCAGGCGCCCCGAAAAAAAATATTCTTAAACATGATAAAATTAAACTGTAGGAAAGTTGGTTTTAAACAGAATTAAGTTCCATTATATATACATACTCATTATAGAGTTTGGTTAAAACATAAACATACCAGACCATCTCATGTCCCTGTGTGTGTATATACACAAGGGGAGCCAAGTTTTCAGGACTGAGCTCACAGCTCAGAGGTTAAAGACACACTGCAAAAACCTCAGGGAAATAGTTAATTTGCACTGACCGGAAGGTGTTAGTACATGCAGTGTTTGACCCCCTTGTTTTAAAAGTTGCACTGCTGGGGCATTTTTATCCGTCGCCTTGATGAGTAGGTGCAGTTTGAAGTAGGGTCTTTCAGGGCCTTCAGGGCCTTCTGGCTGGTGCTCTGGACCCCATGTACAGTTCTCCTTAACGTTGTACTGGAAGAAATGGGAAATCGCATTGAGGATTTACAGAAGAATGTAAATGACCTAATGGTGCAAGCTGGGATTGAAAATTCTATTAAAGAACAAACGGTAAGGTCATCATTAGGAAACTAAATGTATTTGCCTTTTGCATATCTTTTGATTGCTTTCATCTTGAAAAATACAATCCCATATTTGTTCACTGTGGGGATTACTGCCTTTGTACTACATGGAAAACCTTCAGGAATAATAAGACATTTACAATGCTCTTTTCTAAGTAGACTAACTGGGACACTCCTATGAAGATACTTACCCATATTTTATTTCCATAATATTCTGATTATATAAGCATATTTTGAGTGAATACTTAGGTGCCTTTGTTTTCCCATTTTCTTTTACAATTGTTATCCTAAGTCAGCGGGCAAATGATCCATACTTAACCTGCTAAATCAGGGCCGGTTCACCTCTCAGCGACTTCTAAATATCTACATCTGGTATTCTGCTGAAAAAGGTAATGGGAAGCCATGCCCTGATGCTTAGGAGCTGCAAAACACTGCAGGGGGCACTCTGTCTCTAGGGTGCGTTCGGGGTGCTTCCGGTCCCACCTGCCCTGAGGCCTCAGCCTCCCCAGCCTCCTAGCCAAGCCCTACTCCCGCAGGGCTGATTTGGTGATAAGAGGGGAGCCTGAGGGCAGACACTGCCCACTGCAGGCTGGGGTTGGCAGCCCAGGAACCTGGGCCCTTCCCTTCATCACCCAGATCCAGCTGCTGTTTTAAATTCGGTTAAAACCACGAAATATTCGGCATCAAGTTAAATGATTAAGTAGATGTGGAAACCTCACCGTTTGATGCGCATGCAGCATGAGAAGTCAGATATCCAAGTTTGTTTAAAAGGGGTACTGCCTTTTAAATGAATAGAAAGACCTAAATAAATTGAGATGTTTGGATAAACCTGTGTTGGTTGGTTGCACTAGGTCAGGGTTCACAGAGGGCTTGTGCCGGGGACTTGAGGGGATTCTGCACACCCCTAAAACCCGTGTTCCTGTTGTGGGGAGGGAGAGGGGGAGGAGGCAGAGTCGGTGACTCCCAAAATGTTGAAAACGTTCTAAATTTGCCCGTGTCCCCATTAAATGACACCGTGGCCCCTTTCCTGCAGTTAATTCCATGCAGAGAGGCGGCGTATTGTCATGGGTGTTCTCTCCCAGATACTCGGGATGGTTAGTCACAGCGATGGAATACTGATGCAGAAGCAGTGTTTTGTTGTCTCGAGTCCACACTGTGTAGTCACCTCCGGTTGTGAATCCACACTGACTCCATCTGTGGAAAAGGAAAAGCATTTAACACTTATGTTCTTCTATGTACTGAATTTTTCCTATCCACGAATGTTTTAATAAGTATAGGAAATTAAGGTATTTTTATTAAAAGCTTTGGATTCCAGTTTATTTAACTGTACATCAATTGGTATATAAATCAACCATTACCTCTTTCAAATTTTTTTCTTACAGACCTGAGGACGGTAGACTGGTCACTTGAAAATGTGGTAAAATCAAAACTGTACTTTTTAAATAATAATCTGCATGAGTTCTGATTTTTACTACTTAATTTAAAAATTCATTCTAATAAAATGAAAGATTAAAAGAACAAACAATCCAATAAGAACGTAATTCAGAAAGTGATTAACAAAGATGGTTGTAAAATTTTTCAAGGCATACCTTGTATATATAAGTCATGGGAGAAAAGCATTTTTTTCCCCTGAATTAAGTTTTATATAGATCTTTTTAAAAAACATCATAAGCTGTTTTCTGATTGATATTGCTTTTTAAATAACTGCATTCCAACCCAGCTTTTCCAGTCACAGAGTGTTTGGGAAGACTCATTTTAATCTGTCTAGTTCAAACAGATTTGGATAGCAATGTTCTCCAAACCAAACGAAACCCAAGAAAACAGTGTATCCAGGCGCCCAGTGTTCAGTTCGGAGGTCAACCTCACCCACTCCGCTCCTATAGAGGTTGTTACCTAAGAGAAGCACAAAGATACACTTAGTTTATTTTGTAGGTTATATAGAGACAATCAAATAATTGTCCAATTTACCTCTCTAAGCCAAAGTAAAACAGAGCTATGATCATCTAAAAAGGGGTTGGTAATAGGCTCTCGTTGTAAAAAATAACATTCCTGCATATGAGATAAATCTTACTCTTCATACAAAAGTCAAAATCACCCAGAATTCTACAATTTAGAATTAACCACTGTGCATACAATTTTATATATGGGTGATCATGTTGTTTATAATCTCATATCCTGTTCCCTTTTCATATCATAAACATTTTTTCCATGTGAAAATTTCATACACTTTTCATACTTTTTTTTTTTAATGGCTGACTACTATTCTATCATATGGCTGTAATAATTTAAACTTTCCCATAACTATCCCTTGGACATTGAGGCTACTTCCCACTTTCTTGCTATTATAAATAATGCTGTAAGGAGCATTGTTACCATGAATTCTGTGCACATTTCATTAGGGTCAGAAGTGTGACTGAAGGCCAAGTACATTTAGTCAAATGCATCTAAGAAAGGAAGTGTCATTTTGTACTCCCAACAGTGGTGCATGTCTTTCTTTTTTTATTTTATTTTTATTTTTTAAAGATTTTATTTATTTATCTGAGAGAGAGAGAGAGAGAGCACAAGCAGGGGGATCGGCAGGCAGAGGGAGAGGGAGAAGCAGGCTCCCCGCTGAGTAGGGAGCCCGATGCGGGGCTCAATCCCAGGACCCTGGGATCATGACCTGAGTTGAAGGCAGACGCTTAACCGACTAAGCCACCCAGGTACCCCGTGTCTTTCTTTTTTTAATCCAAAGTTTTAAAATGGCATCATTTAAATTCAGTATTCTTGGAGATTTAAAACCATGGTAGTTCCATTGGATTATGTGAAAAATCTCAAAGCATCTTTTCTTTTCTTTTTTTTTTTTAAGATTTTATTTATTTGACAGAGAGAGTGAGAGAGGGAACATAAGCAGGGGAAGTGGGAGAGGGAGAAGCAGGCTTCCTGCAGAGTGGGGACTCAATGGGGCTCGATCCCAGGACCCTGGGACCATGACCTGAGCTGAAGGCAGATGCTCAACTGACTGAGTCACCCAGGCACCCCTCCAAAAAAATCTCAAAGCATCTTAGCTGCTATTATAATTTCAGCAGAAACTAAAGTGGATATTTGAATTGAAGTAAACCAAACAGATTTGAGTCCTCATTAATAACATAGATCTCAATTAGGGGCGCCTGGGTGGCTCAGTCGTTAAGCGTCTGCCTTCAGCTCAGGTCATGATCCCAGGGTCCTGGGATCGAGCCCCACATCGGGCTCCCTGCTCCGCAGGAAGCCTGCTTCTCCCTCTCCCACTCCCCCTGCTTGTGTTCCCCTCTCGCTGTGTCTCTCTCTGTCAAATAAATAAATAAAATCTTTAAAAAAAAAAAAACACAAAACATAGATCTCAATTTAAAATCCAGGATTTTTAAGAAATTAAGTAGAAAAGAAAGCTTCTAGGTACCTGGGTGGCTCAGTGGGCTCAGGTCGTGATCTCAGGGTGGTGGGATCGAGCTCCGCGACGGACTCTGCACTCAGAGGGAAGTCTGCTTGAGATTTCTCTCTCCCTCTCCCCCTGCCCCTCCCCCTGCTCGCACTCTCTCTCAAAATAAACAAATAAAATCTTTTTTAAAAAGCGGGGTGGGGGGGTGGAGAAAGCTTCTATTCGTTATTAACTAAAATAAAAATATTAGGGGTGCCTGGCTGGCTCAGTTGGTAGAGCATGCGATTCTTGATCTCAGAGTCATGAGTTCAAGCCCCACATTGGGTGTGGAACCTACTTAAAAGATGAAATAAAAACATTTATGCTGCCAAAAAAAGTACTAACTTCTTTCTAAAGAAAGTTCCAAGCTGGTCCCTTTTCATAGTCTGACATTTAACATCTCACTTATTCACTCAAACCACAGACGCCTACCTGTAGAGGTTATTTGGCGTTTTATAATATCATACCTGTTTTAACATCTTCCTACCATTTTTATAAAGGATTGCTATTTTCCAGTATCCTGTCACATATATTTAAAAGATCAAAATGCTTCCATAAGGAAAAAGGGGAAAGTAGTAGATGGATTTACATGTGCTTAAACATACTTATTCTAATATAAACTAAATTTTTATGAAACTTTAGTAGCAAGCAGTTTACTCATAGAATACTTAAGTAAAATGTTGTGAATTCAATATCAAATGCTACATTCATATACTTGTAACTTAAAACTCATTTAACTCAAAATTTGGGAACTTACGAAAACATCAAGTTTAATAATAAAGGGCTTAATTTGTAAGTCAGCAGTTCTGGATGCAATTGTCTGAAGTTTTAAATTCTCACATGTAATCTCCTTTCTTTACAACCGTGGTCTCTTGCCTGATCTATCACCATAGGCTTTCCAAACCCCCTTTTAGCTCCTCCAAGGGGACAGAAAGATCTTCTCAGAACTAAAATTTGGTCATGTTACACCCGGTTCCCAAGGCAAAGCCTCCCATCTGTGCCCACTGCAACCTGTGCCCACTCTACCCAACCACGCCCCCGTTCTCAGACAAGCCCACCTCCCTCCCACCACGGGCCTTTGATCCTGCAGGTCCCCTTCTGGACTGCAATTACCCCTACACCCACTTAGTTAGCTTTTTAATATCTCATCTCAACTTGAAAATAAATTCCTCAGAGGTGTTTTCCTGAATCCCCATCTGGGTCAGATCTACTTTTTATATGATCTTCTAGTACTCTACCTATTGACTACCACCATTGTAAGTTCACTTTTTTTTTTTTTTAACATTTTTTTTTAAAGATTTTATTTATTTGTTTGAGAGAGAGAATGAGATAGAGAGAGCATGAGAGTGGGGAGGGTCAGAGGGAGAAGCAGACTCCCCGCTGAGCAGGGAGCCCGATGCGGGACTCGATCCAGGGACTCCAGGATCATGACCTGAGCCGAAGGCAGTCGCTTAACCAGTAAGTTCACTTTTTATGTGATCATTTGGTTATCTCCACAGGGCAGCCAGAAACCAGATTGATTTTGCTCAGCTCTGGGGCCCAGGAGCTACTCAAACTTTTTTTTTAAGTAAATTAATTAATGAATTTCAAGAGTTTCAAAATACTTTGCAATCTTTTATATGGTGCTTTTTGTCCATGGAGATGTGAGAGCTTAACCACTTCACCGAACAAGAGAATCAAAGGCCAGATGGAGGACGTGAGCTATCGCAGTGGCTGGGGAAGACTAGTGGGATGTTGCCCCAATACCATGTGCAAGGCAATACAAATCTCACTAAGACACTGTTGGTGTTCTTTTTATAGCTTTTGACGATAAATGTAAAAATGCCACAAAAGAGTACTAAAACCAGATGTATTTTAAAAGCCATTAATAAAAATAATGTAGAGAAAACGATTCAAAATGGCACCCATATAAAGTGAGTCCTCCCAAAGTTCCCCATTATGATTTTCAAGACATCAAACTTTCCCAACTAGCACCTCAACTTTCAGATAAGAAACCTGGTGAGGACATGAACATATCCTATATTTTAACTGAGTACCTGAAGGACCAAACTTTGGGTGTAGTTTTGTTAACATCAGTGAGTGGTTTTTAGGGTAGTTGTAGCTTTGATTCTGTCAGTGCCCGGAACTCCTCGTTTCTTCTCTGCATGGGCTCAGAACAGTAGGAAAGAGGTAGTCTACCGCAGGGACCCACACATAACAATCTACTGCAAACACACAAGGTTGCTGGTCGTTTTAATGTTTCAGATCTTTGTTTTGAACGTCTGAAAACTGTAAGTAAATGACATCCTGCCATGGTATCTTTCTGTACCTAGCTTCTCCATTTAGTAGTTTGAAATTCATCTATGTTGATGTGCGTAGCTCCACTTCAGTCACTAGCAACTGTGTAATAACCCTTTGAATTTTGTTTTCCCCTTGACTAATAATTGTTTCCAAGTAATCCTGCAATAAACACTCTTGCCTGTCTCCTCTGTGTCAGTTTCCTTAGGGTACTTGATTACTTAATGCATCCCTGAATATATTCTGTACCTCCTAGGCTTGTTGTCTCTGTGTCAGCTGCCAAGACTAATTCCTGGACTTTGCACGAAAACCATCCTGGAGAGGATGGGAAACAAATCATTCAGTGCTCAGAGAACCAGGGGTATTGGTATACTTTCTGCACTAGTTAATTTCAGCTTGAATAAAGCAACATGGTGCAGCAATGAGGCAAGGTTTGGTAGCCATGCAGATCTAGGTTTGAATTCATGTCCTCTGAATGAGTTGTAACTCTGGGCAAACTAAGCTTTAGTTCCCTTCTCTGCAAACTACCTGGCAGGTGGTTGGAAGGATTTGAGAAAATGGCTTGTAAATCACTAAGTTCAGGGTGAGGTAGACAGTAGGTACATAATAAGATATAAATTTATAAATACAACAAATTTATGGTAACTACAGGGTAAGTTTACAAATGTGGAGTGTAATTTTTTGCTTGTTTTTTTAACAGCTAATAAAGCTTTATCAATAAGATAAAATTCACATGCTATACAATTCACCCAATTAACACATACAGTTCAATGGTTTTTGGTATATCCACAGATGTGTACAACCATAACCATAATCAGTCTTAGGACATTTTAATTATCTCCAGAAGAAACCCCATACCCATAGCAATTGCCTCCCTCTTTCCCCCTCCCCCTAGTTTTAAGCAACTACTAATCTACTTTCTGTCTCTATGAATTTGCTTATTCCGGTATTTCATAAAAATGGAATCATACAGTATGTACTGCCTAGGCTCTTTCACTTATGCTCATGTTTTCAAGGTTCACCATGCTGTAGCCTACATCCATACTTCATTTCTTATGGCCAAATAATATTCCATTGTATGGATGGACCACATTTTGTTTATCCATTCTGCAGTTGATGGACATGCGAGCTGTCGCCTCATTTCAGCTATTATGAATAATGCTGCCACCAATGTTCTGTCCAAGTTCGTGTGGACAGACGTGTTTAGTTCTCCTGGGTATGTACTTAGGACTGACATTGCTGGGTCAAATGGTAGTTCCCTATTTTATTTTTTGAGGAACCGCCAAACTGTTTTCCAGAGGGTTCCCCGTTCTACCTCTCCACCAGCAGTGTATGAGGCTAACAATACTCCATGCCCTTGACACTTGTAATAATCGGACCCTCTGGATCTATGCACACCCACCCCAGCGGGTGTGAACTGGCATCTCCAGGCTTTGATTTGCATTTGCTTGATGAGTAATACTAGTGAGTTTTTCATGTGATCCTTGGCTGTTTGTTCTATCTTGGAGAAAAGCCAGAAGTAGAATACTGAATGTCTATTATATGCCAGGTACTTGGGGTCACCGAGATTTTTCCACTAGCCCCTCATTTGATATGGGAAATTTTGTAAATGGGAAAATTAAGGCTGGAGCAACAAAGCTGAGGATTTACATTTGAATTTTAAATCCACTTAAAGCACACCTCGTTTGTTCTTGCTGGTCTGTACTTGTGTTTCAGCCAGTCGGCCAGTCTGGCCATGGCAGAGTGCTTTTACACCACCAAGGGCCACCAGGCACTGCTCTAAGACACACATGGGATAGCAGACACCACCCCTCCTCACTTGAGAGAAGACGGAGTTTTCACAACAGAGCCTGTGTGCACAAGATGTGCCTGGGAAGTTCCCGACCACCCACCCACCAACGTGCTGCTGGGGCAAGAGAAACTCAAGACTGTGACAAGGAAACTAACTGCATGTACCGAAGGGTCATGGTTTCTACAGAAAATACAGTCCGCTTCAGTAGATTAAATACAATCTTAGGAGGAATAAGAGACAACCCTTACTCTTTATATTTAAAAAGAAAACTCCAAGGGCGCCTGGGTGGCTCAGTTGGTTGAGCAACTGCCTTCGGCTCAGGTCATGGTCCTGGAGTTCCAGGATCGAGTCCCACATTGGGCTCCCTGCTCAGCAGGGAGTCTGCTTCTCCCTCTGACCC